CTCCTCCTCCTCCTCCTCCTCCTCCTCCTTCTTCTTCTTCTTCTTCTTCTTCTTCTTCTTCTTCTTCTTCTTCTTCTTCTTCTTCTTCTTCTTCTTCTTCTTCTTCTTCTTCTTCTTCTTCTTCTTCTTCTTCTTCTTCTTCTTCTTCTTCTTCTTCTTCTTCTTCTTCTTCTTCTTCTTCTTCTTCTTCTTCTTCTTCGTGCAGGATAGAGGTGAGCAGAATCAGACCTTAAAAGTGTGCAATATCGTAGTGTTTCCTCTCCTTTAAAAAGAAAACAAAACAGGGGAAAAAACCCACCCTTTTTATGTGTACGTGTTAAGGCAGCATTTTTCTTTGTGAGACCTTGCTGTGAAGTTCTAATATGTCACCATTCAAATGTCAGCAGGCTGTTGGAAAGGAAGCTAATAACTTAAACCTTTGAGAGCTGCCAACAAGAGAGGTAATTCAGATTGTAGAGAGAGAATGCCATTGTGTTCTTGAGGGAAATAGATTTCAGGAATGAAACATGCTACTTGGAAGCATTTATCTTTTGTGTGAGCATGTGGAAAGTAGTGATGGTGGGAGAGAATATATATATATTAGAAACCCAAAAGATGGTTTGGCAAAGATAGCTCTGAGGGAGGAAAAGGGAGTTGACAATAGTGGGAGTGAAAGGTCCAGAAGTCCCTGGTTTCTGTTTTTATTGGGAAAACATGCGTAGGTTACGGTAGTCAGCCTGCTTGTGTTGTGATTAATGCTTTTTTTCCCATATAGTTTTTGATTTTTTTTGAAAAGTAATCATTGTGTGAAAATGTGATATTGATACTCAAATTCCTCCCCCAACATCATTCCATACTTGTCGACCTGGAAAGGAAAGGAAAGGAAAGGAAAGGAAAGAAGAGGAGAGGGAAGGGATGGGAAGGGAAGGGAAGGGAAGGGAAGAAGAGAAAAGGGAAGGGAAGGGAAGGGAAGGGAGAAAGAAAGAAAGAAAGAAAGAAAGAAAGAAAGAAAGAAAGAAAGAAAGAAAGAAAGAAAGAAAGAAACCTGAAGCATTGCTCATTAAGATCTTTCTAAATTTGGGGGTTCCTTCCTTCGCCTCCCCCCCCCCCCAAAAACCCCTTTAATTGTGGTCAGGCTTTTTCTCAGAAAATAAACAATTGTGTTTTAGAGCCACCTACTGGAGTTTTGGAAGAATTACATGATACATAATGGGATTTGTTTTTCTTGCATTCCAATTGAACTTTTGCCATAAGTGATGGCGATAAAAAGCCTCTGTCTTACCTTTGAGTTCTGAAAAGTAGAACTTTTTTTATCCTTAGGTCTGCTTCTTCTCTCTCCCTGTGCTTGCTTCCATCTCATTTGAATAACAGCAAAATATGCCTCCCATTAGGCTTAGAAGGGCATTGTGTAATTTTCTGACCACAAGAAAGGATAGAGAATGGTTGTTATCCTGTCATTTATTCATTTATATGCCAGCTATATAATTTTTATAAATAATTCAAGGCGGTGAACATACCTAATATTCCTTCCTCCTCCTTTTCCCCCCACAATAGCAATCTTGTGGGGTAGGTTGGCTGAGAAGAGAGTGTCTGGCTTTCACGACTAAGTCAGGACTAGAACTCACAGTCTCCTGACTTCCAGCCTGGTGCATTAACTATTTGACATTAAGAGAATATCTTTCTATTACAACAGCTCTTTTGCTGAAATGGACTTGAGGCTTTGCTTTGAGAAGATATGAGGTCCAGTGAAATATTGCTGTAATGGCACTGGATCTTTGCATTTGTTTTCCTTACGTTTCAGAACCCTGATATGTTATTGGACTGTAATTCAACATCAGCCTCAGATAATAAGATTTGTGGTTGGGACATTCAGTCCAACAACATCTACAAATGTTGTAAAGTTTCCAGCCCACTTGTATCCAACTGTATAGTTTTCTTGGTAACTTATAGTTTTAGGTAAGATTTATAAAGCACCTTACTCCAAAGGCTTCATGGAAGTCATTTGTCATTTGGCTTCTTCTAGAAAGTGTGTGTGTCTCCCTCTCTCTTTCTCTCTCTCTCTCTCTCTGTGTGTTTTATTTCCTGGTGGTTTCCCATACAGAGTTGCTTAACTTTCTGGGAACAGTCAAGCTTGAATAGATGCTATCATCATTTGTCAGATAAGAAGAATTTGTATTTGAATGTATTAATTTCCTTGTTCGGCTAACCAAGAAGAAAGTAGGCTTTTTCCAATGAACTGCTTGGATATCTCCTATAATAGGAAGATTTCTGATTTGTTAATGAACATTCATAATATTGTGATTGTCACACAGCCCAATTATGAGAATATTTTAAAGAAATCAGTCAATCAATCTTTATCACTGTGATAGACCAGCATTACAAATAAAAGCATTTAAAACAAAAGTAAAAAAAATGAAAATGAAAAAACAGATAATATATTGTATTTAGTGGTGATTATTTCTCAGTCAGCAATTAGAGTCTGCCTAATTTTGCATACAGTGTAACAAAATGTTGCTACATTCAAAGATACTACTTCATACTGATCTGATAACTGCAACTTTACATAAAAGAGATCAGTATTTTCCATGTATTTTATTAGGCGAGGTACGTGAGTCCTTATGGAAGATATAGTATAGCACAGTGATGGCGAACCTTTTAGAGACCGAGTACCCAAACTGCAACCCAAAACCCACTTATGCATCGTCGGGTGCCGGGTGGGTGTGGCCCATTGGGTGGGTGTGGCTAATTGGGTGGGTGTGGCCCATTGGGTGGGCGTGGCTGCGGCGGTAACGGCAGACTGGGTGGGACTAAAAAGTTGAATCAATCAATTCCTACTTTGCAAGATCTTTTTTGTTCCTGCAAGAAGTTGAAATTGACTGACTGAACCTTTTTTTTTCCCCACACAGTGGCGGAGGCCTAAAGCGAAAAGGTTTTATAAAACCCAGCTGAAGGCCTAGGACTGGGGCGACGGCACGCGTGCCCACAGAGAGGGCTCTGAGTGCCGCCTCTGGCACCCGTGCCACAGGTTCGCCACCACTGGTATAGCAGGACATTTTTTAAAAATAATATTTTGTTTTGCATTGGCTTCTGTTTTTTTACTTTTCAATAATTTCTCAAGTTACTGTGTGCAAAATGAAATACTTCTGTATGAATCCTACCATGATACACTTTTAATTTCCAACCAGTAATTTTCAACCAAATGTTACTCCAAACTTTGCTAGCTTATTTGATGAAATAACTGAGGACCAACTACAGCAGATGTACTTGAGCTACCAATTCTATTTTTGCTCACATCTAGGATTGCAACCCCAAATTTGTAAAAACTGGCTCTATCTGTTTCTCTTTGCTTGTTCTTCTTGGTCTTTCATCTGCAATTTTGTCTTTCAGATATACTACAGAGTAGTAAGAAACATTGAAGCTGGAGAAGAACTCCTTCTGTTCATGAAGACCGACAATTATTTACATGAAGAGATGGCTCCTGACATTCATGGTTAGCAGTTCCTTTTAGAAGATTCTCAAGTATTTCTGCCAGAAACTCCCTAACCTTTAGAGTAAATTTGCCCTCTTCAATTAGCAGAAATCTATTGCGAACTACAACTCATTTGCCAACTTATTTACTTTACAGAGGAGCGTCAGTATAGGTGTGAAGATTGTGACCAGCTGTTTGAGTCCAAAGCAGAACTGGTAGACCATCAGAAATTCCCCTGCAGCACTCACCACTCAGCATTTTCAATGGTGGATGAAGAATTTCAGCCAAAACTTGACAAGGAGAATGATCTCCATGATATGCATGACATCCAGGAATGCAAAGAGTGCGACCAAGTATTCTCTGATGTGCAAAGGTAGGGGCTGGGGATTTTTTTAAAAAAAATCAGTTATATGTAAGCAATAGCTTTCTAACAGATCAAAAGTCAGTTTTACACTATAATACTATATGAACAGACAGCCCCTGCTACGTGAGAACAATCAGTTGTCAGTTGTTGGAAGTTTTCAAGCAGAATTTGGATGGTCATCTGTTAAAGGAGCTGCACTGAGCATCTATATATCTGCACTGAGATGGGGGTTGGACTGTATGGCTTCCACATCTATAATATTGAGGTGTAATAACATTGAGCATCAAATTTATCATCCTGAAAATGTTTTCTTTAAAAGCAAAATCTGATATTTTCCTCTGCTGAAACTCCTTCCAAGTAATGATATGCAGAAATGGGAGATTGGGGGAAGAAATGCGAACAATAAGATAAGAGAGGGTATAGCCTGCAGCTGCATAATGGGTAGATAAAGAGATTCAGAAATGAATCTCCATAATTTCTCAGGCTATAAAGGAAATGCTGGGAGATTTTTAGAATAGAATAGAATAGAATAGAATAGAATAACTTTATTGCCACTTTGAATGTACACTAATTGGCACACGTTAAAATGAAATTTCGTTGCATACAGCTCTCAAAGGGTCACCATCTCCAATATAGACTACATAAATATGACAAAAATAAATAAATGCAGAATTATGTATATAGCCACATATATTATATGACACAGAGAAACAACACAGTCTAGTTCACAGGTGCATGGTGAGAAAAATGAATCTTGCGAGTTTACCAAACAGATGGCATAGGGAACAAAGCTATTGCAGAATCAGGTAGTCCTACTAGAAATACTTCCGAACCTCCTCCCAGAGGGGAGCAAGAGAAACAGACCATAAAGTGGGTGTGTGGAGTCTCTAACAATGCTTTGAGCTCTAAGCATATTCTGTTAATATAGGCTTATAATAAAGTAGAATTAGCTCATCTGGTTGAATTTCTGTCTGGTTCACTTGGGAAGGCTGGCATTCTATCTTAGTTACATGATTCAGGTATCATATAAGGTCCTTTCATGTGTTTTTATGAGCTTTTTAAGAAAGTATAACTGAAACAAAAGGTGTTAAGAGTTTGGCAAAAGAGAACATCAGTATGTTGAAAAGCTTTGTCCATTGCCAAAAGAGAGAAGAATTAAGCAGAACTAAGTATATCTATTTTTTTGTCTATGTGTCTCAGCACTCTGTTTTTGTGAAGAGTGTTAGCTTGGTGGAGAATACGAAGTTCTAATCAAGATAAATATGGGCTTAGTACAGCCACCGAATTAAAGATATCTCATTTTAGTCATTAACTGAACGATCTATACATTGTGTTAGAATAAATATTTATGGCTAAAAATAAGATCTGAGCTAACAGAAATAGTTTTTCTATTTTGAAAGGAGACATAATAATGCTAGTTGCATGCATTTTATAAATATTTTAAATATGGTATTTGTTCAGTGTAATTTTAATAAGAAATACTAAAATATTGCTCTATTAAGAAAAATAATTGATGAATTAAACCATGTTTTTATATCATTCATTTATATAAAATGATGGATTAAATATTGAAATACTGATTAATGGTATTTTAATAGCAATCATATGTTATAAATATTTAGTCATTACAAAGACTAGTGATATAAGAACATAATAAAAAAATATGCCATAGTATTCAGTCACTTATTGTTGGCAATAGTTATGAGTCCTATCAAAACAATGATCAGATATCTCAAAATGAGCAAATATGAAAAATGGATCTATTGATTAAAGAAATAATTGGGTAAGCAATTATCATCCGAATACAGAGTTAGACTACAGGGAAGGAAATACTTCCTACTCAACATTTTGAACGCATGCTAAGCCCTTCCTTTCTTGGAAAACTCAGGGTAATAGATGGGCCTAATAACTTTTTTAAAATCATTTGTAGCAGTCCTAACTCTGAACCCCAGAAGGATCAGAAAACCACCATACCTTTGAGCAATATAAAAACAGGTTCTCACAAATCAGTCTGTAAAATATAATTGGAAAGAGTCATAACATTTCACCTATTTTCATCCTTTTAAGAGTCATTGAATCAATTGATCATAGGGCTGAGAATTCTCAGGAGGTTCAGCCAAATGTTTGGAGATAATCTATAATTCTTTCCCTTTTCCTGTGGCTGCATCACAACTACAAATTGGTGCTTGGGATTGTAGACATCTAAAGTTGATGTATGGAGAAAAGGAAGAAGTGATTTTTTTTAGAAGACTTCCTTGTAGAACAGTATTAACAATTGCGTTAATTTATAAATAACATCCCAGGTTTTAAGGTTTGGGGGCACTGTTGACCTGAGAAGTAATTTAGATTCTTGTCCATCATGAAACTGGAGTGTGGAGTGAGAGTTGAAGTATAAATGGAAAGTGATTTTCAGGCGAGAAGTCTCTTCTGAGTATTCATCTGAACACGTCGACTGCTAGAAATTGCATATCCCTAACAGAAATACAACCTTGAGGAGAGATGTCTGGCCTTTGCAGAACAGATGGATGATTATTGTACATTTCTTGTGCTTAAAAGCCCCTTCTTCTTTTGGGAAAGCCAGTGAGGGTATTAAAGGCTCAGAACAAAAGCCAGCGGGAGAAAAAAAAATCAGAAGAAGAGAAATCATACTTTTCCCGTAAGGAAAGGGAAAAATGAGAAACAGGGCAGTTCCTCTGAAAAACGTTTAAATTATTTAAAAGCCAATACATGACAGAAACAATTCAAGACAGAAAGGTATGAAGAAAATATTCTATTAAAAAAAAATTTGAGCCACAGATGGAATTGCTGGGACAAGCACATATGCTTGGGGGCATTTGTAATTAATAAGAAAGATTCTTGAACATATCATGAGCTAGCAATGGAATAATAAGGAGTAGGTGACAATAAATTTCAGATGATTGATTTTAAAAGAAAACAACAGTAATGTTAAATCCTGACTTGTAACTAAATATAACCGATCGGAGTCTTGAGACGTGAATGAATATAAAAGCAAGAGAAGGCCTTTTGTTTATTAGTTTGTTAAGAGCATGCCCACTTTTTCACAAAAAAAAGATTTTTGAACAGTAAAGAATTACTGAGAGCACTAAAACTGATACAATAAAAACAGAGTATGCGAAGGTACTCTAATGTCAAGCTAAAATAAAACACAATCTAAAAAGTAAAAATAAGACGAAGAGGTTTGGTCTTTACGTGTTGATATAAAACGTTATTTTTTTTCTGGACTGATTGGATAAAGGAAGTCAGGAGAGGCATGAAGAAAATGGAAAAACATCTTTTAGAGCGTGTCTTTGGATCATCTCCTGTTAATTAAGAAAAGAAATCAAACATGACAAACATCTTTTTTTTCTGCCTGGGATGATTGAATGGTTGAATGTACAGCATCTTTGTCCCGTTCTTTCTTGAGGACTTCAAGGTAGCTTCATTGGGGAACTGTTTTCATTTTAACCCCCTAACAGAAATTCTGCGAGAAATTCTGGATTGACAGACTATGACCAGCCCAAAGTTATTCAGTGAAGTTCCATGGCTGAAGGTGAACACAAATTTGGGTGTCTCCAAACCAAGTCCAAAGCTTTAACCATTACTCCAAACTATTTCCATTAAGACACAAAAAAGCTTCCAAGGATGTAAAATCAAATGTGTTATTCAAATAAATAATTTTAAAAAGGGGTTCCCCCATTTAGTCTTTAAACAGGGCTTTTATTACAGAATTCTGATGCTCCAGGAATGCCTTCCCTTCCTTTTGTTTAATATTTCTTCATTTCCCCCTTTGATCTGAACTGAAATCATAAATAAAAATATGTCTTTTTAAAAATAAAGACTAGAGACTTCCCAATGAAATTATTAAGGTTAATTAGACCACCCACAGAAAAGAAAGTTCTAATTATGCTCTGATTGATTTTTTTCAGTTCTCTGAACTGAAATAACATTTGTTCTTTGTATCTGATTGCTTGGGTGTAATAGGAAAAACAATAACCCTATTTTGATTCAATCTTATAGAGATTTTTTGTTATACCTCTACAGCTTGGAAAAGCACATGCTGTCCCACACAGAAGAACGGGAATATAAGTGTGATCAATGTTCCAAGGCCTTTAACTGGAAATCAAACTTGATACGTCACCAGATGTCCCATGATAGCGGGAAGCACTACGAATGTGAAAACTGCGCCAAGGTACAGTGAATTTGAAGGATGCCTGGGACGGTTTCTGTTTTGTGGTATTTAGAACAATAGTATAGCCTTTATGTCTATGGAGATTTCCAGTCATCCAAGTCATGGTTGTTCCAAAGGTGCTTTTTTTTCAAAAGGCAACTAGACATTTCTCTTCTCATCCAAGAAGCTTTTTCGGTTCTGACTGAATGGTGGAGGATGGAAGGATTTATATTCCTCGCAGTAATCTGGACGTTGGTACTCTTTCTGAGAATGGTTGAGGCCACGTGGAGATTTATCTGTGCTCTCAGGGTCATCTGAATAGTGCAAAGGGTGTGGAATCTTCTTGGAATTGCTGATCCCCCCTCTGTTGACCAAATTGGTCAAGTGGATCAAAGGCCCCTCTTTTGAAGACAGCAAAGTCCACAAACCGGGGACTGTTGGTTTGATGAGGGATCAAAGAGGCCATCTTCATTGAGATTGAACAGCCCTTTCTCAACAGAGGGGGAGTGATACGACACTGCCTATCTCCTGTTTACAACACAATCCATTCAGCAGTTCCAAGTAGATTCCATACCCATTTGCACTATTCAGATGACCAATGGGTTAATTCGTAAAGTGTCCTTTCGAGCTCAACTCACAGACCAATCCACAGTTTTCTTGACAATATGATGGCTTCAAGTTAAGATAATTTAACATTATTCATTGATTTTTATGTTCACTGTAGCTTTGTTCCATTTCTTCTTTTATGTATTATGCAGGAAAATTCATGTGTGTTTTAAAATAAACACACATTCACTTTTATGATGTACAGATTTTAAATACTCCACAGGTTTAAAAAATAAAGAATCTCAGAATTTAATAAAAATGGATATTAAAATATACTTGTTCTGGTTTGCACATGAGATAAAGAGATGTAAAATCTATCCCACTTGTTTTAAAAGTGTAGGTTTGAAATGATTTCTCATGTATAAATGATTCATGGCTACACGATAAAAGATAAAATGCCCTTAGAAGATCTGGGACTGAGGTTTCTCCTTAATAATGCAGATTTTATAGATGAAGTTTTATCTGGTGTTTTGTTTAGTTTTTTTTGTAAGCGGGACAGTATTCATCTGAAGCCTATCCTGCTTCAATAGCGTCTAATTCAGTTTGCTAAAAGGATAACGTGTATGTACAGATAGTCCTTGACTTATGACTAGCAATTTATGAAAACTACAGTGGACCCCTCAGAAAAGATATTTACCCCAAATTCGAAGTTCCAGTGGCTGCTTCCCCCTGTAGGCACTTAGCACTTGGCCTATATTAATGGATGTTTGCAGCATCCCACAGTCAAATGAACGTGATTTACAATGCTTTTTTTCCTGGAAACTATTATTTAGTTCCTGCAAATGACCTGTTTAATGACTGACACAACGTATAACTATAATTCCAGATTCAATTACCATCATAAATTGAAGACTACCTGTTAAGGATTGAGGAGCCCTGTTAATTTGTGAAATTTAGTGATAGTAATTTAGACGAATGAATGCTTAATTCCTAACAAAGTACTGATTATATCAACAGAAGTGCCACAGTATGAATGTCAAAACCATTGGTGTCAAAACTGAAACTCATATAATGTGTATGACTTCTTGACAGATTCTAGCATAACATTTTTATAAGGATATTGAGAAGTGGGTTAATTAAGTTAATTAATGTGTGGTTAATTAGTTGCAAATTCTATACATTTTAAAGATATGCATAAATTACGGCGACTCAACTTTTAATGATTCATCATTATGAATCATTAAAAAAAGATAAATTGAGGAAGAAGATGGGGAAAAGGAGATGATTACGGCTGAGGTCCCAAATGTACAAGAGAACAAGTCTCACCAGATCAGGACTGTATAACTCTGTTGATTAGAATTGGGGCTGTTGAAGAGAACTTTGGGTAATGGTTTCTAATTCAGTGAAATGGAAACAAACACTTAAGACTGTAAAGAATAGTAGGGATAATCTCTAAAGCCAAATCTCTTTGTGCCTTAGAGAACCACAGTCCAAATGATAGAAAAGATTGCTGATCTTCCACTACAGGTATTCCTTGACTTACAACAGTTCGTTTGGTGACCATTCGAAGTTACAACGGCACTGAAAAAAGTGACTTGTGACCCTTTTTCCCACTTATGACCGTTGCAGCAACCCCATGATCGCATGATTTACATTTGGATGCTTGACAATTGACTCATATTTATGATGGTTGCAATGTCCCAGAGTCATGTGATCCCCTTTTGCTACTTCTGACGAGCAAGGTCAATGGAGAAACCAGATTCACTTAACAACCGTGTTACTTATTTAACAACTGCAGTTCACTTAACAAACGTGGTAAGAAAAGTCGTAAAATGGGACAAAATTTAACAAATTAACAATCATCTAACAAATTTCTCACTCGGCAACATAGATTTTGGGCTCAACTGTGGTCATAAGTTGAAGACTACCTGTAATTCTGTATACCCTGTATACAGACTACCTGTATACCCTGCTTAACAACACAGAGGAAGAAAAGGCAATTTATGGAGGTAGTTGACAGCTCCTGAGTATTAGTTTAATTACTTGTACATCCTGTTAAGGACCCAGAGTGCTATACAGTAGGTTTCTGAAGATTGACCATTTGCTGCCAGAAGGCCCTGGTTCTATTACAGAATTAGTTTCCAGGATTTTCTTGGATGGGAGCCATAAGCTTTAAATGGTCTTGACACTACTTTAAATGAATAACCATAGATATGCCCTCAAGGTCACCTTTCCCATCTTCTGACTTACTGATTTAACTGGATTCACAAAACAACTCTTTCCCTTTTTTCCTCATTAAATGACTCTTGGTTCCAGAAGGGTGTTAGATCAAATGTGCTTATTATTATTATTATTATTTGCAATTGTTTGCATTCAAATCTCTTGTTTAATAAGTACTCATTTCCTAGCAGGTTTTCACAGACCCCAGCAACCTCCAGAGGCACATTCGTTCGCAGCATGTTGGGGCTCGTGCGCATGCTTGTCCAGAGTGCGGTAAAACATTTGCCACTTCTTCAGGCCTCAAACAGCACAAACATATCCACAGCAGTGTCAAGCCTTTTATATGTAAGTCTTTGCTCAGCATCTATTGTTCTTGTGTCCTTGAGCAAAATATTCCCATAACGTATTTAACCCAACAGCACCTCCCCAGTCAGTTCTCCTTCCCAGAAGTTCAGGCAGTACACAGTCCCACTAACTGGCTCAAAATAAATCATTTGGGAAACAGATTTGGTGGACTGGGATGTGAAGTTGGGTTACATAAATAGCAAGATAAATAAATAAAATAGCCAATCACTTATCTCTGCCCATAAAGCCATTCATTAAGAAAGCATTAGCAAGTCTCTAGGCATTCCTAGATCTTTACCCTGTTGGCCATCCGAGTAGCAGTAGATTACGTTTAACCAATCAAGATTTGGGGTATATGTTCTGTGCTATCAGGTTTCGGCAGTGGATTCTGTAAATGAAGTCTTCTTGATTTGAGCTATTGTTTCTTTCAGTGTCTTTCTTGGAGAACTGTGTTTGCAGAAGAGCTTATTTGATTGGGTTTAAGTGGTTCCTATGATGTATCCAACTAAATTAATCCTATGCAGACTGGATTTCTTTCGAGTTAAACTTAATTCTTTGGCTCTAGGTCAGCTAATTCCTTTTTGACATTCTCTTCACACACTATTCTCTCCTCAACCCAGTGAAGTTTTTTTGTGGCTGTATGGACATACAGTTAGATAGTGGTGGTTTGAAAAATAACTTGGTTTTGTCTGGGTTCGTACATAAAGCTAGGTCATAAATGGGTATGTTTGTTAGTGTGCTAATAGAATCAGTTAATAAACCACAATTTATTTTAGTGCAGTAAATCAGTTTGTATCTGGACTGCCACTGTAGATTATCATGCTGTACAGGTGAAGATGCTTGGTTTGTTTGTGGCTTCTTTGTTTATTCCTAATTTGTTTTTCTATCCCACTAACTAATCCACTGAGATACAAAATGAGAGCAACTAAAAAGAGTGGGAAACAAGAGCCGTGGTGGCACAGTGGTTAGAATGCAATATTGCAGGCTAATTCAATGCTCACTGCTCAATTCTGAACAGCTCAAGTTTCAAGATTGAGTCAGCCTTCCATCCTTCCGAAGTCGGTCAAATGAGGACTCAGATTTTTGGGGGCAATATGCTGTCTCTGAAAACTGAAGTGATATATAAGTTTAAGTGCTATTGCTAAAACAAATCAGGAATTGGTGCAATGATTCATGGTTATTTTATTTCTCTGTAAAACTATCTTCAGCTTTTTTCAAACAAACCATGATTAAAATCACAAATGGCATACTGTGATTGGCAAACATGTTACTTGTAGAGAATCTGGAGCTACTTAACTGCAATTTTATTATCTCTATATAATCAGAGCTATAGTCCTATGTCATTTCAATTTTTTGTCTTCCCGCAATGTGTTATTTTTATTTCTCTGCACATTTTTTTATCATAGAATTGAACACCAACACATGCATTTGTATTTTTGTATAAATTAAATTCATGCCGTACCTATGGAGTGGTAGGTGATGAAAATATCCATTGAAGCAAAAAACAAAACAAAACCCACAATAGCCATTTTCCCTGTACTAGAAAAATTAGGTGAATTGGCTCTTGGCTTCATGTGCACTTGGCTATCAGAAATAATTATGATTCTCAAAAAGATACGATACTCTAGTTTTTTTGTTTATTCATTTATTAAATTTATGTGCTGCCTGTCTTGTCCATAGACAACTCCAAGCAGTCTACAAGCATTAAAACTACTACACAATTAAAATAATAAGGCAAAAAGTAACAACAGTGATCAATACTGTTAAAAGATGGTCAGTAGGGAAGCATGAAATAAATGGGGAGAAATGGAGGTCTTTCCAAATTCAGTCACTACCTCCAGAATGGTGCACTCCTGTTGGGGTCCCAGGCTAGCTGACAGAGACAGGTCAAAAGGGTGGGTATGGATCACACATCAATGGGTACGATGTTCCAAAGGGCTACCCCAGTTAATGGGATATTTGCACTCTACCTATAAGAGTCGTGTATTTGTATTTACAATCTACTTCAGTCTTTTCTTTTGAAATTCAAGAAGCTCAAAAGCTATGAAATGAGATTGTGATGAGTAACTTCTGTGAGCTAGTAGCAGCATTGGTAGTGAAGGGTAAGGCATAGTACCAAGGAAAGGAAAGAAGGAACCCATAAGGAATTTCAAGTGAGTAGACCTGAAGTAATACTGCCATGGCAGATTCTCTCTCCTTATCATTAAGTCCATGCAGCACACCTCTACTTACAGTAATTCATACTTCTAATCAATGCAGCTACTTAGAATAAGAGCGTGGGCACTCCATCACTGGAGATTTTTAAGAAGAGACGAGACAGTCACTTGTCTGAAATGGTATAGTTTTCCTGCTTGAGCAGGGGGCTGGACTAGAAGACCTCCAAGGTCCCTTCCAGCTCTATTCTATTCTATTCTATTCTATTCTATTCTATTCTATTCTATTCTATTCTAATAGAAGAGAATATTTGTAGCACAAAGTTGAACTGTGGAGTATTTATAGTACACTCTGAGCAGGGTTTTCATTGAAGACATTTCGTTGCCAAACTAGATAACATACTCAGTGCATTGAAACATCTGCAAGAAAACAATCCAGCCCAGAGAGCACGAAGAATCCCCACAATGGAATAAGTGTCCAGTTGTGTTAGTCCCACACTTGCAGAATTCCTAGTTGACATCTGGAAAACACAAGGTGAAGAGAAGCTGTCAGTGATGACTATATTTTGTGTAATAGATGGGAAAGGGGTAAGAATTCACCACAGGGTATTTTTAGCAGTCCTTATTCATGGAAGAGAGAACTCTGTTGCACTTCTCTGTTGGCTTCATGTTCAGAAGCTTATTAGTATCTGAAAATCCTTGGGCAATTTTGGAAATACTTTTATAACCTCATTTTATATTGTGTGCTCTGGCAACCTTCCCTGGATCTAAGTCTAATTATGCTTTGAACCTTTTGTAAGTTTATTTATTGTTCTTAATGTAGCTCCAGGAAGAAGAGGAGAGCTACTGGTGGATGTGACTAATAAAGTGTTAGAAGATTCCACCAAGTGAGTTTCTCTCTAGCAAACCACTGAAAACCCTGGACTTGCTCCAGGCTGTTGCTAATTTCACAATAAGCTCAAAGAACCTCTGGCAATCTTTTCCTAAAGAAAAAGTGAATCTTCATCAAAAGAGAGATTTTCACAGGCTATTCACATTGAGAGTTAGGGTGATATAAAATCCTTGCCATTTAAGAGCTTCCATTTTAATTTGTTGCTTCTAAATTTGCATAAGTCCATTTTTAAAAAACAACAACAACACAGCATATTTTATTAAATGAAAACACATAAATGAAAAGCAGACAGCTGATGAGACAAATTACAGTTCTCAACCATTCCAACCAGCATGGCCGATATGAGGTAGGCTGGGAATGATAGCTCAGTACTTTTGAGAGACCACAGGCTCCCCACCCTTGCTTTATGGTGCTACACTTTGCAGAGGTTGGTGTTGAGGCTGGCTTAACCAAGAAATGAATAGGTTGAAGAAGGAGAAACTAATGGAATAAGACTGCCAGGTCTGGCCTATAAAGATTTTCAGTGAGAACTTCTTTGTCATGTAATAGGATGGCTTTGCTCGCCACAGTAGAGAAATATACAGTATAATATTGATTGGTAAGAGAGTAAGGCAAATTATGCTTTAATTTAAAACAACTTAGTGTTTCGATGTGTGCAACTTCACAATAATCTAGTGGCCCGTATGACTTCTAGTGTCAATGTCATATCCACCTGTGAGTCTTCAGAACAAATTAAGTACCTCTTTGTCTTTGATGAAGCTGGAACCCTTCAAATGTGTTGTGTCAGGTGCAGGAAATCAGGAGTCCAAGCAGTTCAAATGAATATATTATTGTATGCTAATGCTCTCTACAACAATCTGAACTAGTAATAGTTAAGGCAAATTTGTGATAGTTAAGAATCAACAACATTCAAGCCTGGCTGGACTTATATCTCTTGTGGGCATGAAGGGACTGGAGGCTGATGATGCATTTGACTCCTCCCTTTGGCTCAGCCTGGTCATCTTCTACAGTTGGATGGAAATTCTAGCTACAATTCTAGCAATTTCCAGCCCAGGTGGATATTCTGGAAGCTAGAACCCAAAGCATCTAGAGGTGACCCAGTTTGGAAAAGCCTGTAACACAGTCTAGGGCCTTCTACCATTTGTGACAAGGAGGAAGCACAGAGAATGAAAAGATGGAATGTTTTCAATTTATAATGCATACATATAGCCTTCAACTTACCACCCTCATTTAACAATGGTTCAAAATTACAGTGGCCTCAGTAAAAGTGATTTATGACCTCACACTTATGAATGTTGAACCACACCTGCAGTCAGGTGATCACAATTTGCATGGTTGGCAACTGGCTCCCATTTATCAAACAATTACAGCATCCAGCAATCATGATTTGTAACCTTCCCAGCCAGGTTCCATCAAAAACTGGTTACTTAACAACCATGCTAAAAATTGTTGTAACGTTGGGTTCAGTACCATGATGACTCACTTTACAAACATCCTAACTTACAAAGTAAATTCTGGTCCCAACTGAGGTCAGCATGTTCATTCTGTTGAAAATGGATCATTCTAAACATCATGTCCCTTCTAAATGTTGATGGCAGTATTCTTCCTGAGCAAAAGATTTTACAGTTGAGAAAAACCTCTGCGTTTGGGGAAGCTTTGAAGAATGTAAATTGTGCACTATTGTGTAAAGAAAAAGGAATCAGAGAAGGGTTAAAGCAGCCACATGTAACATTTTTGTTATGGGAGAAGGTAAGAAAATAGATTGGGTCAGATGCCATAATTAGGTGGGTCTGGGTTTAGATTGGACTTTGAATGTGACATGGCTACTTTCAGGCTTGGATGTTAGTTTTGAACTTTTTTGCTCAGAATGTCATGGTCTGAGGGGCTTTCAGGGGTTAGAAGACTTGATCCATCTTGGTTTAAAGGACAGAGATGAAATGAGATTGAGTCAAAAG